AGTCTAAAATTCTGTTGCACACTGTACACATTTGTGTGCATACATGTAAGTGGCTGTGTTTCCCATGTGATAAAAACTCAGGTGGTCAGACCTCTGATGATACCAGTAAGACTAAAGCAATTTCTACTTCTACTCTCTGCCTTCTACAATTGGATTTATAATTGAAAACTTATCTAATGACTTTCATGACTGCTTAGGGGTTTTATGCATCTATACATGAGTATGTGCATATAAATGGGAAACCCATGTTTCCTGAAAGAGCCCATGAGAAAAGAGCACTCTTGCTTTCATTATTGACTGCACGTTCCCTTTTGCAAGAGACTCGGAAATGCCAAGACATTTCAACTCACAGCATCATAACAATAATTATATCCTGAACTTTACAGTTGACAGCATTTCTCAAAGAAATCCATTCATGGTGATGTTAAGGACAAGGCCAGCTTTAGCACATGTATTGCTGGACACAACTCAGTGGGAATAATAACTGGAATTGCTAGGTAATAAAACATACAACAAAATAACTGTCTTCATGGGGAATGACACAGATAAATCATAAACTATTTTCTCCAGATACTAAATGTAAGTTATTCCAGTTATTTTCATGACAAACATCAGTCATCTCTTTTGATTGATATATAATTGCAGACCTGATGAGAGCACTAAGTATCTTCCTTTCAGGCTACATGGAAGAAGAAATTAAACATCTCCTTATGAAAAGGTAGTGAGGAAAAACTGGAGGATACTGCCCAAGAAAATTACTTTAATTACAAAGGCCAGCCTGAACCCCAATGTCTAAAGAAGCTGGGGATTCATTTCAGTGACTTGAATTTAAAAAAAGAACCATAGGATTTTATGCAGCCATGAGAGTGTCTGTGGGGAAAAGCAGTGAGACTCTTTTCTTCCCAGGCTTTCTTTCCATGGACATGGAACAAGCTGGAGGAAAACTGAATTGTTATGTTTTCTGCCTTGGCAGAGCAAAAAAGTTTTCTGTGCACCATTTGTGATATGTAAGATTATGCTAACAAAGTGCTTGTATTCTTGGAAAATTATTTGCATAATTTTAACTTCGGAAGAAATTTTGAATCCTATTAGTTAAGCACCCAAATCTATTTAAAATATTTGTCCTTCTGCTTTGTGCTGACTTTCCATCACTGTACTGACCAAAACCTAGAGACATGAGAAATGAGTTCAGGGTTGCTATACCTTGGAAGGTGTCCAGGTAAGAGCTGACAGATTTATTTGAGCTGTCTTTACCACCTCAGTTTAAAGAGAAACTGCCTACAAAGAAACCTGTCTTTCCTAAGCAAAAATTGAACCATGGGGATTTTAATGGGACAAGTGAGGTTAGAAAAAGAACAGGCAATTAAAAAAGACTATTTTTTATGTAGTTAGAATTAATAATCTCTAACACTTTCTTTGTTAAATAAAACAATAATGTGTTTAAATGCTTTGGGAAAAGAGACCTGCCTGTGTGCTCTTACACACAATTTTTTCCTCATAGAAAGTAAGTTAGGATGTTCACCCCTCCAGTGAGATGCTGGGGAAGAGCATTCACTGTGCATCTGGGGAGCCACCACTGTCCCTGAGAACAGGTACTCAGGGTCACACTTGAGTGGCAGGTGCTGAGTAATTGGTCTCCTGGTCCCAACTCTGAACTTGCTGAAAAATCTTGCCTGGGCTCTGCTTATTATCCAGAGGCTTTAAATATCCCAATACCTTTTAAAGGCAACCTGCTGCTTGAAAGACAAGAAAAGATACAAGAAAAGATGTGCAAATAAGAGTGTTCTGCAAAGGAGATGAGAATATTTAGGTTTGCATGCATGCTCTAAAGCATATTGCTTTTCCTGTAGCCTCAAGATACCAGGTGGATTTTGAGGTTCAAATATTTGGCTGTACACTCAGGGAGTTTTGTAGGATTTCTGCATCATTTTTTTACTGGAGAATCTTCTTCCCACCTAGCAAATCCTACCACCCATACAGCAAATAGAAATCTTCTGGCACTGACTGGTACTCCATAACACTGTATAAAGGCTCATGTGTAGTGTGTGGGAGTAACAATACCCCATCACAGAGAGGGCAGAGGATAGCACAGCAATGTTTCACTGCCACTCACTAGCCAGCAGAGCCCAGCATGGAAACCCAAGGCACACTTGTGAGAGGAATGATGTTGAAATAAGAGTGATGACTTCAATAAGAACCTCAATGTCTGTGGGAGATGCAATGATGGAGTGTCCTGAAGATGACAGCGAGTAGAGGATAGTTGCACTTGCTCAGTCCAAACATGCTTGCTCTGAAATCCATTTTCTGTTTGTCAGTTTTTATGTACTTGTCACACCAAGGACAAGCTGACAGCTCCAATATATATAAGATGTCTGCTGGAGAAACACGTTGCTTGTTAAATGCTTTGTAAGGCAAAATCCAGGCAGTGACTGAAGTGGTATTCTGGACAGCACAGGTAACATCTCCCAGAGAATCACTGACTGCTTTGTTTACATTGGAAAGGACGAGAAGTGGGAGTCAAAGGAGCCAAATTACCCAAACAGGGAACTGAGATGAAGCAGAATGATTTGGATGCTAAATAAGGGATTTTTTTGTCTCACTTCCAGGACAATGCCAGGAGTGAAATATTGCATTTTCACCAACAGAGGATAGTGGCAATATGCCAAAGATTTCATTAGTTAAAATAAGATTGCTTCTGCTTTTGATATTCACTTACAGGCAGTAATGTGAGGAACAATTAGAATACCTCAGATCTTGAAGAGTCTGGTGATGTTGTAACTAACAGTGTGAATATTGCTTGGTTTATTCCCTCCGTGGTGATGGAGAGTTTCACCAAAATAAATCCTGAGTAACTGTCAAGAACAAAGACATAGTTCAGGTGTGTATCAGTGGTAATTTGTTGGGTTTTTTTTTTCTATTTCAGTTCTGTGTGCTTAGATACTGCAGTTGGCCAGGAGACACTTCAGTTTTTCTTAGCTTGTATGTAACAATTTGGTTTTATTTTTATGAAGATGGCTCAAGCTGAGCTGATTGATAGACTGTTACTCTAAGAGCAACAAAATTACCCTTTCTGATGTATATTTTTTAGGAATAAATCTTAAAAGTCAAATACACATATGGCATCTGTATTTGTAAAAGTCAAACACACATATTAACCATGTGTGAAATTACCCATGTTGAATTCAGGGGGAATTTCACTGGGTGCCTATAATTAATCAAAATATGAAAGCCAGATAAACTAACAAACAGGGGGTGTTAGCACAGTGAGACGGTCTTTATTTGTAAGCAGCATTTAGCACCATTTAATTCATGACTTTGGTTTCTACTGACCATCTGTCATAGCTGCTGTCAGCTTCAGAAGCCTCGTGAACTTTGCCAGTCCTGTGTTAGACTTCAAAAGATGCAGCACCCAGCCACCAGGATGACTTGGATCCAGAGACCATATTGTGGCAGCTTGAAACAAAGAGTGGCTTTGGCAAGAACAAGATGCTGGCCCTGTGTTTCAGTTCTGCTTCTTCCAAAGTAGCAGGCATTTAATTGGATTAACTGAGCTGAGGTCACCGTTGCTTGAAGAGGTAGCACCAGGTTCAGCATCAGATGCCCTCTTGGGATACTCTTACTCAGGGTCATTTGAGAAATGGTGAGAACTAAACCTGTCTCCCTGTAATCTCCTTGGTACAAGACTGTACTCCTCTTGCAAATAAGGTCCACAGCAAGACCAGGTAAATGCATTTGAAGTTTTCAAATAGCTTCTATGGCATAAAAGAAGTGAGACGATTTTAAAGCATAAATTATAAAAATCTTTTTAAATACCTGGAAAGCAGTGGACACTTATGAGCTGTATCAACAGGTTCATCAGTGCAACCTGGCACAGCTGATTGCAACAAAACAGAAAAGACAAGACAAAAAACCAAAAGACATCTATCAAGCAATAATCCTTTTTAGATTCTCTTTAAGAAATGCGTGGACATGTAGTCAGCATCAATTTCCTTCCTTGTATTCAGCTCAGAAACATATTTTTAAGGCCTGTGGATCTTGGCATGCCTCTTTGTCATGTTGATACGTAGATTGTTGCTGAAATTCCCATTTTTAATCTCCTATGAATATCCAGAATCTCTGGAAAGAGTTTTGTTGACTCATGTTCTTTCCACTGTCCCCACACTGGCTGAGGAGGAGCTGCACTTGCCTCTGTTGAGGAGTATGTACTAGTACACTATTTTATTACAGGGTGCAAAACACTGAATTTCAAATCCCTTTGAAAAAGGGATTTGCAAATTTTCTTGCTTTCTTGAAAATTCATGTCCTGGCCTAAAATTTCCAAGAGTATTTCAGATTTGGCAACAAAAGGAAGTACAATTGGTCAAGAAACATCCCTTACGTATGTGCAGATACAGATAGCACAATAACAATAGTGGTTCAGTAGCTATCATTTTTACAATATTGTAATAATCTGATTATCTTAATCCCGTTATTTTGACATTTAGTATAAAATTATTGTGTGTTCATTGTCTTGGTGGCCTGCTATTGACCTCTGATCAGCTTATTATCAAGAATAAAGCTCGAGTATATTTTGCAAACAACACTGGTATGTGCTATGCTTTCTATATCTCTTTAGCATTTTTTGCTGCTTTAGTGAACACAGAAAATGCCTTGCAAAATAAAAAAGACTCATGGCCTGCATAGGAGTTGGGAATGTATAGTAGTCTGAGGAGGTGCATGAAGCTGGAAGTAGGTTTTGTTTTGATCTATTTGAGGAGGCATATTCTGAAGAGCGTTCTCTGTTCCCATTGGCAAATCTCCCAGGAGAGTTGTGGCAAACTGGGCACAATCAACCCTCAAAATCTGCTCCATTAGCACAGGTGTCAAGCTGGACCAGCCGATGCAGTTCTGTTGTCTCTACCATGCCTAGAGGGTTTGCCCTACCTACAAGCATGCCTTCTCCTGGGCTTCCCCACCTACACTGAATGCGTGTGAATTACAGGTTGGTTCCTGCACTACAGGTGGACTTGTGGCAGCCCAGCAGCCCCTTCCACATCGTCCAAGGCGCAGTGGCTGACGTGCGAGTACCGCAGAACACGACGCGGAGCCTGCTGCCCTTCCTCCAGCAAGCAAACATCCAGTACACGTAAGCCCACGCTCCTCTTCCCGTGCCTCGCTCCAGAGAGCTGGCCTTGGGGCAGGTCTGCACCTACCACGCCAAGTGTGCTCGAAAAAATACCTTCCACATCACAGCAATTAGGCTGGCAGACAGCTCGGCATTGCCAAGAAAACAACCGCTTTAATGGCAGAGCAGCAAATCTCCCACAGGCAGCAGCTTTAATTAAATGTCCTCCTTCGGAGTCAAGCTGAAGTGTTTTCAATGTATGTGAAATCACATCTGTTAAGAGAGGGTTGGTAATTACTAATTCTGCAGCCTGGTTTGCCTCTTTATTTAGCACAAGCAAGGTTTATTTACAAGTGAGCTGCAAATGCAGAGGCAAAACTTTTGCATCAATTATATAGGAGCTACTGCTATCATTCTCCAATCCTAGTGACCAATGCAAGTCATACAGTACAAATGCAATATTTTTAGTTTCACATATTATTTATAGTGGTCCTTAAAAAAACTCAAGGCAGTTTTGGAGTATACTTATCCTTTCATATTTATCCATATGATGTACAGGACTAGAGCAATGATCTTGTTTTAAAGCCTTCTCAATGGCATGCCTAAGCATCTGAATAATCAGCTCATGAGTTCTCAAACATTTGCTGAATAAAGACCTACATGAGGTTATTTATACTTATTTCTCAATGATAAAAGGATGGTGTAATTCATAATGTAGATGTATTTATGTATACATATGTATAGTACTCATCAGAATCCCATTTTTATTATAACAATGCTCTCTTCTTAATTAGTTGTTCTAAAAATACAGAAACAAACATAAGTAAATTAAGTACACAAGCTCCATAGCTGCAGTTCAGAGTGACTTTCATGTGGGTTCAGCATTGCTTTGGTTTTGTTTATGTTCAAAACTGAGATGGGGCTTTTTCTAATTGTTTTCCTGTGCTTATAAAAAAATGTTCCCTAATTACTGTGACCCAGCAGTTGTATTCATGTCTGCTGCTGTTCCTGCTCACAGTAATCACCTTCAATGAAATGACAGAAGGACATTTTATATGTGTTATAAACACTCTCTGTACTTGAAGACCTCTGCTTGGGTTGCAAAGCAATGTGCAAGCACAAGATCTGCCAGAGTAAAAGGTCTCTGCAGTTTACCTCAAAAAACATGCTACAAACACTGGATTAATCTTCCACAGAGAAAATCTCTCTGACTTTTGGCACACAAGTTATGTGTACTTGGAAGCAAACTGAGCAGTATTTTACCAGGTCTAGACTTGTCCTTTCCTCTCCCTCTTATTCTCCTCGCTGCCTGTTTTGGATGGTCCCAGCCATTAGGAATAAAACCCTGCAAAACATGTGCTTGTCCTGACAAGCCTCCTGAGATCTGTAACTCCACAAAAGCCAGGAGGATTCACCATGAGAGCAATCACAGCCATAGTCAGGGAGCAGCAGGAGCAGGCTGGCCAAGCACAGCCATGCCCACAGCACAGCTGGGCTGGGGATCACAGCCCTGAGCTGAAGTGCAGCTCTACAGCCAAGATTTTGTGCAGCTCCTTTTCACATAGCTGATTTTCAATTTTTTTTTTAAATTATTTTCCCCCCACACACTCAATGGAGTCAAATTCCTACATCCCTTTTGGAACTGGAAAAGTCTGAGCCAAAGTCCAGATAAAATTTCAGCTTGATGCAGTGATGCTTACCTGAATTATGACACATTTACAAAATCAGGAAGCATTTCATCTTCCCTAATAATGACCAGCACTTTCCTGTAAAACAGGCTTATCTCTCTTAGGGTTTGACTTCTTGACAAGTTGGCCACAAAAACAAGCCAAGCATCAGATAAACTCTCTGTACCAAGTTGCCTCAGTTGTAAGTTTTTTGGTAAAGAAGACACTTGCATTGCATTCAGATCTGAGGGACTTAAAAGCTTTTGTATTATAAGCACACACAGTACATAGTCATTTAAAAGTAAAGAAAAATTATCAAATCTCATTTAGAGTACAGATGCATAAGTACATAAGTTAATAGAGTTTGATTCTGGTAGTTGCTTATACTAATCAGAATTCTGCAAAGCAGTCCAACATTTTTTTAACTATTAGATGCCCTAATGAATTGAATAAAATCACTGCTTTAATCAGCTTTACAGTACTAAACTTATCGTATATATAGCACCTCTCAAGTCAAGACTATAATCCTTTAGTTTGCTTAATGAATGTTGCTGATGTAGAAAAATGTAATTCCTAATTATACAACTACTTCACTCATGTATTGGAAGGTAAGAATAACCTTTACTTTGATTCTATATGCAGATAGCCCTATTGCCTTCGAGGCATCTGCTGCACAGCTGAGTTAGGAGCAGAGTAAATGCCATTTCTTTCCATCTTTTTCCAATCACAGAAGCTAATGCCTATAAAAATGTAAAAGGTTGAATGTGACTGTCTTTTTATGGGAATGGTGAATTAGTGGCATGGTGATTACACATTGCCATGCTTTAGGAGAAGAGGGCATACAAGGATGACTCTCAGTTATACAATAATATTAAATGTTGTTACTGTGACAGTATTCCCTGCTTCTGCTACTCTCTGGTGGGATGGATGGATACTTCAACTTCTTCATTATAATTATTTTTAGATGTTTTCTATATTATAATTTTGTATTTGTGTCATTTTTTATTTTTGCCCTAAAACAGGACAGTTTCACCTTATACAACTCTTCCTGCATTTTACTCTTAATGCAAAGAACCTCTCACTTTTTATGCAAGTATATTTAAATTTCACTTTGCATTTTTCATATTTTTCCTGAGTTATTTTAACAAAAATGTCAAACAACTACAGCAGAGTAGATAATGTAATCAACAAAGCCCACTTTAAATTTTTTGCTTGCTATTTTTTCTTGTTTCAGACAGAATGATAACGCTACCAAGTTTTTTGGGTTTTTTTTTTTTGTTTTGCCTATACAGCTTTTAGCTGTATGTAATGTTCCATGACACTCCCAAGAGAAAGTGGGTCCATGTTTTCCTAAGCTTACAAAGATTTTTTGAAATGGTTTGAAATCAGTTTTTGAAGATCCATGATCACATAGTATAAGTGGATTATAAAAGAAGACAGTAAATTTTGCTCCATAAACAAATTAGAGTGGGTGCTTCTTCACACTGGATACATTATTTACATCATTCTGTTTCAGTCATTTAACAAGTTTATTGTGTTTTTGAAGGCACTCTTACATTTCAAAGCAGCTGGATTATTTATTTGGCAGCTTTTATTCTAGTGAGCCTGAAGCACTCTATTGTCAAAATGTAACAGATGAAATAAAGTCAGGATGGTTTAACTTCTGCTATATTTCTTCTAAAAGTGATTGTTGTTCTGATTTAGATTGTGTGTTCTTCCAGCTTTTCAATAATACCACTATCTTTTTTTACTTAGGATTCTCATATCAGACCTACAGCAAGCAATAGAAAACCAAACTGGAGGGAGGTCCCATAGGAATCGAAGGTCCCTCCCTGGGTATAACTATGAAGTATACCACTCCCTGGAAGAGGTGCATTAAAAGTCATATTGTTCCTCTTATCTACCACAATGTTGTGTTTAGTAAGGCTATGGTTTCATTCTCTCTACAAGTTCTGGTTACCTGTTCATCTTCAGGAGTGTTCTAAATGTTTCTTCTTCAAAAACAGGCACTTCCTTGAAAAACGAAATCTATTTAATATTTGTATTCAATGCTTACCTTTACATGTAACTGTCTTTCAGAGCATCTGAGTTTTGTTTTTAAAGTAGGTCTTCTACTCTGGTTGAATAAGAGATTTCAGTGAGTGATTGGTCAGACTAAGTCATTTAATTAACCAATACAAGTAAATGCTTAAGTATTTGAACAGGAGGTACAAATACATAAAAACACTTAGATACAAATTCATTTCTGAGGAATACTACCCTGGATGATGGCTGGGTAAATAATTCCTGTTGAATTTACTGTGCTCACATATACAGTTTCAGTCTCAAGACAAAGTCACTAGGCTGAGGATGGAGAGTGATGCGTCACAAGATCTGGTGCCCACTAAATAAATACTGCAGGTAGCATTGAGTCCTGCATGGAAATCTGTTTGCCATTGTGTTCTGACAGGCAGAAACATGGAGCTTCTTTCTTCATTCCATTAACATTTAGTGGCAATGGTGGATTAGCCTCATCCCGATATTTTCAATGGAGAGCTTATATATTGCAGTAATACCCAACAATGAAATGCAAAAAAAAATCCCATGTGAAGGCTGCATCCAGTCTCTGGCTGTAGAGCTATGAGTGCCAAATAATGGTTAAAGTGTGAAAACAAAAACAAACAAGACAAAAATAAAAACCATAGGAAAATCAAAAAATAGAGAGAGGACAGAGAGCTGAGCCATATGAATGTATTGCAGTTTCTTCCCATGAAATGCAAAGATTGAAGCAATGATTTTATTTTTGTGTTTGCAGATCGAGGACTGGATGCATTATCTGAATAGAACTTATTCAGATCTTGTTCACATGTTCTCTGTTGGAAAATCCTATGAAGGGAGACCACTGTATGTACTCAAGGTAAAGATTAAATACTCATTAATTAGACTAAAATCTGGAATCAGGGGCAGACACTGTTATTTATGTTACAGCATATACACCAGAGATTCAGCTTAACAGTGTTTCCTAAGGATGAGTTGCTGAAATTAAAGTATCTCTCTGAATGTCATCTTTAATGAAAAATTGAAAAAAACCTGGAAAACTGATAGCCAAATCCTAGTTACCTGGAGAAAGATAACAGGACAAGTTCAATTAGCAGGATTTGTATTTAAGTGGATTGGAAAGCTTTTTGTTTATAAACAACTAGGAGAGGAGTTATGCTGGAGAGGGATCCCAGAGGAATGTGGAGCCCTTCTCAGCATGTGTCACAAATGCTGCTTCTTTACCTACTGACAAAATTTCAGGGCTGTGTGCTCTCAACTCACATTATTAGGACCACAAATTAGAGTGTGTCAGCAACATGGAAAAATCTTACTTTTAATGTACTTTCTTCTCGTCTCCTATTTAAGAGTTCTGAAAATTTGATTCATTATCATGCAATCCACGTAGTGTCATTGTTCCTCACCCTACTCCATGTAATAATCATTCCTCATAAAAGAGGAACTTGCAGATCTCACTTCTGCTACAGTTTGGGGTTTTTTTCCATAAATCAGCCTTATTATCATGGCATACCTGCCTAACATTATCTTGGCCATACCTTTCAAAACAGTAAATTTGTGTTCCTTTGTATGAGGAAATTCAAAATGGTTTAGCTTCTCTCATATTCTATTATTTTCTCATTATTGTTTTTTCACTCATGTCATGTGATCTATTGGTATTTGTGAATACTCACATTTCAAGTTAGGTAAAAGATCACGGCCCTACAAGAAAGCTGTCTGGATAGACTGTGGGATTCATGCAAGAGAGTGGATTGGCCCAGCCTTTTGCCAGTGGTTCGTGAAAGAAGTAAGTGTTTCAAATTTACAGTCATACAGTTCTTTCTGTTAAGTAAACTTTGCATTTTTGCTGTAGCACATCTAACACACTACTAGTATGGAAAGTAACTAGCTATAAAAGTAACTGTTATACCTCTCTTTTTAAAAATTATTTGTGGAATACTTAAGTGCTTAATAAACAAAGCTGTTAGTAACAGCCAGACACAGCCAGGCACAAGACAAAAATATGCCAGACACATACTGGCAGAGATATGAAGTTGGATTTTATTCCAAGACCTAAAAGTGTGAAGGTTTTCAGTAATTTTGGTTATTGCCCAGGTAAATCAGTGCCAGCATGTACTGCTTCAGATCAGTTCAGCAGTATCATTGTTTTAAGGACTTAGTTTAAAAGATACATTTCTCTTTTCTGCAATTTCATAGGAATAGAAAGCCAAAGTCACAGAATCACAAAATAGAACATAGAACTGTCTAGGTTTGAAAAGATCTTTAAGATCATCAAGTCCAGCTGTTAACCTAACACTGCCAAGTCCACCATTAAGCTGTCACTCCAAGTGCCACATTTACATATCTTTTAAATACCTCCAGAGAAGGTGACAAGCATTTCATTGGACAGCCTATTCCAATATTTGAGAACCCTGTCAGTGGAGAAATTTTTTCCAGCATCCAAGCCTCCCCTGGCTCAATTTAAGGCCATTTTCTCTTGTCCTATCTGCTCCCATCTGTCTACAGCCTCCTGTCTACAGGTAGTTGTAGAGAGCAATAAGGACCCTCCTGAGCCTCCTTGTCTCTAAAGACCCTCAGATCCCTCAGTTGCTGCTCATCACATTTGGTCTCCAAACCTTCATCAGCTTCAATTCCCTTCTCTGGACTCACCCCATAACCTCAATGTCTTTTTGTAGTGAGGGGCCCAAAACTGAACACAGGATTCAAGGTGTGGCCTCACCGCTGCCGAGTACAGGAGGTGCCCTGGTCCTGCTGGCCACACTACTCCTGATACAGCTCAGGTGTCACTGGCCTTCTTGGCCACCTGGACACACACACTGGCTCATGTTCAGCTGTTGTTGACCAGCACCCCCAGCTCTTTTTCCAATGAGTATCTTTCCAACCACTCTTCCCTCAGCACTACATGGGGTCTCTGTGACTCAAGTGCAGGATCTGGCACTTGGCCTTTCTGAACAGTTGGTTTCAATGTGTATAGAATTCATCCACCGTGTTTCCATGATGGCAACTGTAATCATTTTTCTGCTGTGCAATGGCTTCCAGCTCCTGTTTGTTGCCCATCCTCTGTGTATTGGTATAGATGTGCTTCAGTTGGGCTACTGAACCAAATGCCTTCTGCAGGGAAGAAACCCTAATTCCTACATGACCAGTTTCAGGCACTTCTGTGGTTTCTAACACATCAATACCCTTCTGTCTTTGCTGCCACATGGATCTCCATCCCCAGCCTCCACTGTGATGGCAGACTGAAGGACCTGTCTAGATCAACATCCCTCAAACATCAATGTGGTGCCCCCAAGTTTATCAAGCCTGGTTTTATCCTCTTCCACCTTCAAACCAGTTTACAGCTTTTTCAGTAAGACCTAACTTATGATCAAAGAACCTTTTCCACCTTTGAGACAGGTACACCCTATCTCACAGGAAAGCCTGCTTTTTTTTGACCCCATAGTCAAAAGCCCCAAAATTCTGCCAGGGACACCTGTCTCAGAGCCAGGGATTGATCTGCTGGCTGTTCTTCTTCATAGATGGATTTCACGTGAAATGATGAATTCCATATTCTCTGAAAAGCAAGTGGTTCCAATGTTTCTTTGATTCTATCTCATTTGGTTTATTCTCCCTTTATTTTTGATGTCTAGTGTTTAGTCTCCCTACTTATCCATTTGCAGTTTTCAAATGAGAGGTGAAATCAAATGGAATTGGAATTTTGCTTTCAAATTTCGTGGTTCTGTTTTGGTTCTGGTTTGTTGGTTTTTTGGGATTTTTTAGGAGGGGTTTTGGTTTTTTTTTTGTTTCTTTGTTTTTCTTGGGTTTTTTTAATATCAACACTTAAACTCTTCTAATTTGGGATTCATTACAGATGTATTATATGTTTACAGGGTTTTGCCATTTCCCCTAGCCAACAAACTTTTGTTCAAGATGAGGCATTAGCTGCACAATGGAGACTACCTTGAAATGTAATTGGCAGAAGTCAAAAGTGACTTAAAAATTCCCCCACAAGTGTACTTTGAGTACTTTGCATGCCATTTGTTTGCACAAAATAAGGGTTGCAACATACTTTTAGAAGCTTATTCCTATAAACACACAATTTTCTCACTTTTCTTCCCACCCATCTCTATGTAATTCTACAATGCATTAATACCTCCTCTGATTTTGTGAGAGTAATCTTCTGCATTATCAACACCCTAATGCTGAGATGGCCATATAAGCATGTGTGGCCTTCCCTCAGGAATCACAACAGTGTATAGGAAAAGTACAGAAATAATGAGGCCACTACAGTTTGGATGAGCCTGTCACCACAAATAGGTTAAATGAGGTTCAGGAGCTGGTCTCCAGATTTTGGTGTGCAGCAATGGTTTGTTATCTTATTAAGACTCCTGTCAATGTGAAGATGAGCTAACTTGCAACTTCTGAGCAGCTTTCCTACCCAGGAGAACATGCTGCAGTAAGGAGGGAAGCTGGGGCAGAAAGGAACTGGTGGGAAGACTATTGTTTAAATTCCTCTTTCTTACCAAAGTTTTCCCATAAAGCAGTACCATGTGGCAGCACTGTAAAAATCACTAGACTTCTCTGTCGACCTTATAGCACAATATAGGCTATGGGTGTGTATATAAAAACCTTCTGGTTGTTATTTGAGATCTTCAGAGAGCAGCTTGTAAGGCTGTTTCTCTAATTATGTAAAAACATTTTCCTGGATTAAAAGTAGTCTCCACAGAGCTCCTTCAGACTACAAGAATGTACCACCTTTGTCTGCCCATCCCTTCTCAGAGCAGTATTTCAATCCAGCTTAAAAGCAAAAAGCACAAGGAAGGGAATACATTATGCTCATCATCATATTAAAAACAACTGGCTAAGGAGGACAGAAAAGATTATTAGATTGCTTGATTTAGGATATTACTTTTCTCATTGTAAGAATTAGAAATTTTTTGTAAGAACTCTGGGAAAACTGAAGGTCTTTCTGTGCTTCAAAATCTGCAATTCTCTTGCTGGCAAACTGCTCCCCTAAGCACCTCTGCAGCCTGGCAGCCCAGTTTTCCATCCCCCCTGGTACTTACGGGCAGTTCTGAGAAAGGGCTGTCAGCTTGGAAACAGATTTTTCCTGGCATGTTTGTTGACTCTTAAGGAATAGCACCACAAGTCTATTGATTTAAGGCAAGCAAGAAGGAATGCTGGATTTACATGATGTTGGCTTCTTTTCTAACAGGAACAGCATACATGCTTTCCTTTACTATGCAGGCAGCCTGAAATGTCTTAGCAAGCTTTCACTTCACCCTGTGATCTCTGACACTTTTTTATTGAAGTATATCCATGTTCCCGTGTACAAGAAGGCTTTTCAGGAAATTTAGCTTAAGAAGAAAACCCTCAATGCATGAATGTCACTTAACATTCAGGCCTCAGACTGGGTGCCTCAAATTTAACCAAATACTCCTATTCAGTTTGGGAGCCCTCAGCATCTGGTTTACACCTCTAGAGGTGGCAGTTTCTGCATGACAGTGGATTTGCTGCTAGCAATGGGAGAGCACTTCCAGAGGGTGGAGGTGCCACTGAGCAGCTGCTCATGGCTTTTTCCTGGGCATGGCAGCAGCTCCCCGCTGTCTACAGAGAATCTGGAATTGTTCAGCTAAACTGGACCTGGCTCCCACTCCCACCTACTTAGAAATGCAAAACAGACTAAAGCAGATCAGACTTGGGAAGTGAGGAGGTAAGGCTGGAGCATGGGAAGGCAAGAGGCTGCCTGCTGTGCAGACTTGCTCTGTATTTGGGCAATTACAATAATTAGAGAAAAAGAAGACAATAACTAGAGAAAAATTTATAGAGAAGTTACATATTTAAAAGAAAAAGAGAATGCACAATATATTATGATAATATATTTCAAAGTACAAAAGCAGCCTACTCACATTTTGAAACAAACAAAAGAGCAAAGACTATGGTTTGGGGAATTGTGGGTTTTGTTTAGTTTTCTGTGTGTTGTTTTGGGTTTGTTTGGTTTTGGTTTGTTTGTTGTTTTTTTTTTTTTTTCCTTATAATCTACTCCAGAATGAGCTCTAGCTTTGGCTCTGTGTTCCATAGGTCTGATGTTAATAACAACATCACTGTTTGTTTCTGTGGAAGACACCCCTAAGAGTCTGTAGTCTCTTGGCTAAAGATAATCAGATGTTCTGTCAGGATTAGCTGGCCTCTGGCAAACCCCACCTCATTGTCATTGAATTTCAAGTCAAGAAAGGGGACACCCTGCACACACAGGACCAGAGTTTTTGGTACTTACTAATGAGCCACAGAGAAGTGTCTGCACCTGTCCCTAGTGAAATAGCAGTCAGGTTACAGCGGAATCCCACCCAATTTAATCCTTACTCAGCTGGAAAGTGATGGAAAAAGGGCTCTGAAAGTGGAAACATGACAAGACCTTTGGTGGAGTATGCAAGCAAGACAAACTGTAAAAGGAAACAGAACTGATTACATGTGGGCTACTTTGAAGGCAACCTGCAAAGATAAATGAACCCAGAACTTGTGTCCACAGCAAGAGATTCAGGGAGAAAAAATGAAAAAATAATTTTTAAAAGGGTACATGGGATCTAATACATTAATATGTGTTAGTAAATATTATTAATTGAAAGATACTTTAATATGTGTAGCTACTTTGTAGAAAGCAGTAGACTTTAGAAACAAAATTCAGATATGTAATGTATTTATCCAAAATTAAATAGCCGTCACAGAAGCAAAGACATAATACCTATAGCCATTTTGCAAAAATACAATTATATATGTACATCTGTTAAGTAAGAACATTTAACTCCT